ACACACACACATACACAAACACATACACACACACATTCACACACAAACACACACACACACAGGTGGGCTTCACTCGTCTTGCCCTCCACATAAAACTACAAACAGAGCACTTCGTCTACAATGTAATGATATAGCTACGGGGAAAACAGCACAAAAGACCACGATCGTAATATTATATTGAAAGAGTGAGCGCTGAATGAATCAAATATTCCAACAATGAACCAAAAGTAGATGTCACAGAAGAACGGTACAAAGCGAAACACACCATACAGAGGCGGGCAGCCAAACGATAGTCTAGTGTTCACTGAAAAAACCTTGTCATTCAGAGACGAGCAAAGTAACCGATTTTGAGTCCTTTGAGGCCAGTGAAGAAATTCCAATTCTCGAGAGCGGATCTGGGTCACTGGTTTGTCAACACTAGACAGTCTCCAGTAATGCACCAACAGTTTACCGTCTCAAATATACTACAACAGCACGGACAAAGAGTTTATTAGACCGTATAAAAGGGTCAAGTGTCACCCAGTGCTTTCTTCAGAAAAGTGTTCCATGATGAGAAGATAAAATCTCTGAAGACCAACGTACAAAAAAGAAAGTTGGAAAACTCCAAGACCACAAAATGGATTTCTATGACATTTGTGGGGACAATTTTCATTCGGAGTCGAGCAGCTTGTTGTTGTCATCGTCGTCGCGTCGTCGTCCTCGTTGTTGTTGTTGTTGTTGAGGTTGTAGTTGTTGTTGTTGTAGTAGTTGTTGTTTTGTACTTGTGGTTTAAACATAGAAAAAGATCATGTGTCTCTTTCTTTCTTGATGTTCATGTCTTTCCCCACACAACCGAGGTTTCCACTGGAACCAGTACCTCCACCGGTACCTCCACCCCCACCACTACCACTGTTACTTCCACTCCCCGCCCCCGCTGCACTCCCAGAATCTCCTCCCGCGCTTCCCCCACCCCTCAGGGCCGGGCCTTGATAGTCGTCCCCTAGGATGGTGATGATTTCTCCCTGCATGAAAGCCCAGGGCACGTTGGATCCGGAGAGAGGACACTTGTTGCCGCTCGGACAGTACACCTCCGTGCCCGCACCCTGGCGCTTGATGCTCTCCTTCGAACATGGGAAACAGAACTTGTGCTCTGAGACAGACGGGCACTGGACGAAGTGAGTGTCTTCCAGCCGCTCTTGACACAGCGTGCATTTCAGCAACTCCGGCGACCCCGCCGGCGGAATCCCGCCGCTGGTTGATTCGGGCATGGTGCTGCCCACGCCTGTGTCTGATACAGGCCCTGACGGGTGTCCGCCGCTACCGCCGCGTCGTGAAGCGGGTGATGAGTGCCGCGCGTTGCCGCCCCGCATCAGGAGAGAGCTATGTTGCAGCATGTCTGAAGTCGGCGGCGGAGGAGGAGGAGCGGTGTGACCTGTGGGCGAGGTCAGAGTGTCGGTGACATTCATGAGCGCCGCCATGGGGGACGAACCTTGACCCGGCGCGGCGCTGACGCCCTCCGGCGGCGTTGGCGTTGTGTTGTGGTTGCTGAGCGGCGACATGGAGGTCGAGCTGGGAAGACCCGGGCCGTACGCGGCGGCGGCAGCAGCGGCGGATGTGATGGTGAGCTTGAGCGCCTCCGCCTGGCTCTGTATCCAGTGCTGGCGTTTGTGCTGCTCCTCCGTCATCTTGATGGCTGGACCACCGTGGTCGTCGTCGCCGCTGGCAGAGCCTTTCCGCTTGCGACTGCTGCCGCTGCTCCCGCTGTTACCGCCGCCAGGACCGTCCAGGAACGAGCGGTGATGAATCTCCGACTTGGACAACGGTACAATGCGGCCCAGATGACTCGGAAGGGGCGGCAGACAGCTGTCTACGAACGGCGTGGGAAGTAATTCTCTCTTCAACAACTCTCTGAAATGCCTCACGTGATCAGTGAACAAATCCGTCATGCTGTTCCACTGGCCGCTGTTGTGCTTAACCTCGTACTCTAAGAACATCAACCCTGAACTCTGACCTTTCCCGAGGTCGCTGACGGCGTCACGACACATGAGCTTGACCAAGCTCGACACAGAATTGTGAACTGTTCCTGAACCTATAGGGTACTCCACGAAATACTTCAGCTCTAGCTCATGCGGCGCGCGGAGACTGGCGTCAAATGCAAACATCCTGCCCACCAGCATGTGATCCTTCTTCAGGCGTATCTGAAAGGGCACGCACGCCGCTAGGGTGTTCAGCGTGTCCCTCACGAGCGGGTGTTTCTGAACGGCCTCCTCGAGAGAGGAATACTTGGCGCCGTCCTCGCACGAAGAGCTGGACTGTGTGATACCATCGTCGTCATCTTCCCCTCTTTTCGCCGACAACAATGGCGGTTGTGGCGGGGCGCTGTGACGACTGGACTGGCTCAGCGGGTGAAGTAACGGCATCCCCATCCGGGGTGGACTGCCGCGATGATGGATGTCCAGGTGATCCTCTACAGACCGCGGCACGGGAAGGTGCCCTACTGGCAGACCGTTGTGCAGCCTCCCTAGAGGACTGAAGTCCATCACATTCCTCCGAGCGTCGAGAAACCTGTCAGGTGGCGGTGGAGGGTGGTGGGCGTGTGGTGGGTGCGGTGGGTGCGGTGGGTGGGGCGGCGGAGGGTGGCTTGGGCCCGGTAGATGGTGGTGGGAATGAGGACCAGAGAGACGTGAAGCGTCCAAAGCTACAGAGGCGTGAGAGGAAACCCCCAGAGGCGGTGGAGGCGGCCCATCCACTGAAGGATGGAGAGGGGGTAGGCCGCCGGTCCTGGAAGTATGCACAGGAAGACCCTGAGACACCGGAGGGGGTGGAGGAGGCTTCCCGATACCATTGACCACAGGAGCTCGGGGTGAGTGCTCCTGGAAGCCGTGCACACGCTTCATATGCCGGGCCGATTCGATGATCATCTCGATACGGTCCGGGCCCTCATAGTTGACGCAGCCGCGACACACGGGCTCGGAGAAATCGTGCAGCATGGCCCATGGCGTGCGGGGCAGGTCGCACAGGTAGCAGTGCTGGCGTTGGGCGCGATGAGGCATGGACGACATGGTCTGGACGAGCAACACCTTAGTGCACGGCGCACCGGCCGACAGGGGGAGCTGACACCCGGATGGCATACAGAAAGGTCATAATCGTACCAGAGTAAGAAAGTATCCTGGATTTCTTGACAACAGGAAAGTGCGGTCTATATGTATGGCAATGTGATTCAATGAAAAAAGTGTATGAATCTTCCAATCCTTGGTTAAGTCAGTTCTATTCTCTCCGAAAATAGACGATCGATCCTGGCATAGAGAATTCGAATGTTATAATCTCAGGGGGTCAGAGGATACATTAGATTAGAAGAATTTGGGTTTTAGCTAGTCCAGCGCATTCCTCAGTGACCAATAACAACGTCCCTTATCAATGAATTCATAAGAAGCTCTTAAAACACAAGGTTACACGAGAAAGTAAAATACTGTAGACGTAAAACAAAAACAGAGTGCAGAATGAACTGTGGTACTACTTTACCGCTCCAAAAGAACACAGAAAGTTCACTAATCCAAACAAAAACAGAGATTAAAATCCAGCGCGGCGAAAGAGCTCAAGTTAGACTGGCCTTGGGCTCAACAAAGCCAACAATGAAAAAGTGTCACTTGGAAAACTTCACAGCGGGGGGACAAAGTTCTATCGTCTTGTCACGACACAAGGTGCTGACACCAGAGATGACACTGACTGAAGCTGACGGCAGCGATTTCAAACGTGACACAACTGTCGGCGCGACATCAAAGGTAGACAGCCCTGACAGTGGTGCGAGTCTTTTTTCATCACAGTCTAGTAGACAGAGAGGGCAGGAGACGGGAAAACCTGCTCTAAATTCCCATCCAGACTGTGAGTGTTGTGCGTGCACAATGCGGGTGACGTATTCCAGACATGAATGACGAAAACGTGGTGGGGGTCCCACCACCAATCGATGATCAGCACGTTATAAGATTGAACAAACAAAACAAAACAATTCAACTGAATAATTCCTCTCCCTCTCTCTCTCTCTCTCTCTCTCTCTCTCCTCTCCTCTTTCTCTCCCTCTCCCTTCGTTGGCCGACAGAGGTTGGGAACAGAAACACGACCGTGTATATTATATTATTATCTCTTGAGCCAGCACATGAGGAGAATCTTGAGCAGTGCCGAGTCCTCGACGTAACCAGGACACCACCAGTGACTGACTGTCTGTTTGACTGCTAGCGTACCGTACGCGACACGGGCGCTCTGTTATGAAGGAAGAAGAAAAGAGAACACAACAAAAAAATTATCGCGGCCCGCGGTTCTCGTGGGCTTTGTGTCGCTGCGCTCCGCGGTGCGACCTGGCGGCCCAGCACGTCCTCACACTCCCAGTGAACGCGCGCGCACACACACACACATACACACACACACACACACACACACACACACACACACACATACGCACTTGAGAGACGTGAACTCTTTGTAACTCTGTGCTCTGCCGGAGGTGGCCAGGTTACAACACATGTGGCGGGAGTTGTTCA